TTGACGAAGAGAGGATCAAACATTTTTACAACACAGAATTCCGTCCTGGACGTGGCTTGGCGTTATTATTATTATTCACACACGTTCGTTTGGCGGTGGCGAACATCTGCGCGAGCCATCGAAACGATTGTAAAAACAAACGGAGAAAAGAGATAGTCGTTCTGCGTACACGACCATTATACGTTCGGATCGTTTTGACACCGATACGGTTCAAGGTTTTCCGAGTGTTGCACATGTGATAAAATGTGATCGTATGTGGACCGCGCACGGGAATCAATAAAACGTATTGTGCGCGACCACACGCGGCCGTCGCCGTTGATTACATTGTGTCGCGATCAATATGGTGTACTATTGCAGCAGCACATACCGCCCGATAAGTCCGTTATCGCGATGACAGTTATTATTCGTGTACAACACATATCCTGTTGGGACGGTTCACGGGGAAAAAAAACCAAATGTTTTGATCAAATAAATTATACACATTCTTATCGTACGTGTTACCGCCCGGTATTGTGCACCGCGTATAATTCATTTGAAACGATTATAACCATTTTCCGTAATGGAGAAACGTTGATTCGACGTGGTGCAATAATTATTGTTTTCACACCGATTGACGCGTAACAATAACGAATACGGATTTAGATATACCTCGCAATGCGAACGGGTTTGTGTTCACGAATTCACCGCTCGGATAGCAGTTTTACATCACATCGATCCGCGGTACGGTAATTTTGTTATAAAACTAGTACCTGTTTGGACGAGAAAAAAAAAAGTAACATTTCGAAATTGTTGTCAAATTTATTTTCCAAGGTTATATGTAGGTCATTACTTGGCCGCGACTTCAATTCCGATTTCACTGCCCGATTTGAATGTCTCGATTTCGCTCAGACCAACGTGTCGGGCTCGCTCCGAACCGTTTCGCGGAATAATAAATAAACAACGTATTGTTTCGTTTTACATGTCCATAAATTATAGGTCAATTTTTACCGGTCGGCCGAGTATTACGTATTTTACGTACCGTTTCTACGCGCCGACAACCAAACGACCGTATCTTTTATACCTTCGACACGTTGATTAACAGGTTCGTGGATAAAACGGTAACAACATATTTTTATACGAAAGAACGTATCCACTGTGCGTCGCTAACCACCGGCGGTCAAAAGTTAAAATATCAGATACCTATATTATAATTGGAACGCGATGTTCTTCGGACAACGGTTCGGAGCCTGCGGAGCAACGCCTAATTCATCAAAACCCGACGGATTGGAGTGTAAAAATTAATTTAAAATAATGCATCGTGATACTATGTACTTTTCAAATAAAACACAGTGTAAACCGTAACATTTGTTGTGCGACGGATTTGATAAATAAATAATACTTTCAAATAATCACCTACATCGGGAACCTGTACAATATATTTAAACGTAACTTAAATACGCGTAATTTATTGTTTTTTAAATGTGATTATATTTTTGAGTTTTATTACGATACTTCACAATATTTATTCATCGAACAGCGTTAACAAATGTTTTATTAATAATTCGTAGAAAATTAAATGCGTAAAAATATGTATCCTTTCGAACAGTATACAAATTATTATTAATTTGTATTGAAATCGAGAACATCATTGACTAAAAATCTGTACACATTCATATAATATATTTTTAAATTAATAAAAATCCATAAATTATTGCCCAAGAATACAACAAAGAACCTATATGAATATTTGATATAAGTAAAAATTACAATGTCATATTTTAGTATTTATATACTATGTATTGATTTCAGTGGCCTTATTCTAAACTCAAATAATAATTGATATCAACTAGAAGAAATTAAATATTCAATCATAATATCTACAGCACACTGTTTACGAGAACATTTATGATGATATCTCATTATCAGACGCTTGTATTAAATATCATGCAATTATTTGACTGATGACTATAGAGTAATTTTCAAAAGAAATATTTTCGTAAAATTAGTTTAAAGATCACCAACGCTATGTGTCACGTGCAAACTTTATGTGATGTATTGAAAATGAATGGTAAAAAGAACTTTAGATTGCTGGATATTTCCTGTACATTTCTTCGAAAGAAAACCGAGGTAGGTATTTAACCATTATGTTCATACAGCGCAGAATAACGTAAAGAAAATATTTTAGCTAAATTATTTAGTCGATCTAACTGATAGACCGACTATTGCATAATATGAGAACAATATTTTGACAATACCCCTTCGCAATTTAACGGAATTATGTTTAAGGACTGACTGTACAACCAACGTATGCGATTTTTTTTTTTAATTGTGTGAAAATAATATGTTTAAAAAAATAATTTGGTGGTCTAAAAATCGTTTTACTATTTCTTCCATGTTTAAATATAAGTCGCGTTTACGTGTGACGTCACGGAAGTCACTCCGTCCGATGGGCGTATCTAGAATTCAGGCCTGATATTTATTTCCTGCGATTAAAATAACTATTGGGAAAAATTGATTTAAGGCATAAGTAATTAAAGTATATTTCTTTGAAGGATACATATTTCTTCAAATCATTGTAATTTATATAGTATTAAAATTTTTTTTAGGGTAGTTTATAGGTTTGACAAAAAAAAAAAAAAGAACTAATAAAATAATTAACACAAAGAAAAACATACTATACTCTGTTATAATAAGTTTAAACAAATGTGTAATTATCATATATAATGTATAAACTGAGATAAATGGTAAAAAAAATCTCATAAAAACATTTATCAACTCAAATAAAGATGGGTACATACAATTTAATATACTGAAAACCAAGAATAGTAAGTAAGTATATATAACTAAAAAACTAGCACCTTACGTATTTTATGTTGTATATCATGTACCTATAATGAATTAAAATAGAAAAGAAATTACATGAATAACCGATTTTGAAAACTAACATATTATCCGTTCTCGACAGGATAACGTTCACGAATTTATAGTTCAGTGGTATAATGGTTTGTTTATGCGATTTATATTAGCAATACTGGACCTTAACAATAATACTTACAAAATATTAATAGGAGAAAAATGTGTGTTTCCTAAACCATTAGGACGATTTATAGTAAAAAATATTTACACCAAAACTCATTATTTTGACATTCCTATGTACTACTCTGAAACAAATTTTAACACTATGAAAAGTACAATAATTTAAAAAAATACATAACCTTTAAATACATGTACTTTAATAATTTCTACATTAATTCGATTTTTCTCTTAAGTTATTTTAATCGCGTAAAATAAATACCACGCGTGAATTTTAGATATGGTCCAAATTAGAGCTCTTAATACACGTGAATTCACGGAATTCACGTATCACGTGTCACGTGTAAAATTCAAAATAAAAACGTATATCCTTAACTTAATACTGTACTAATAATATTTTATTAAAACTTCAAGTGTATAACATAAAATTACTAATTTTCATTATTATAAAAATGGATTTATACTTGGATAAACACGTATTTCACGTGTACACGTGAATTCTGTGACACGTGTTTTAAGAGCTCTAGTCCAAATAGTGTGATTTTATGACGTCACGTGTAAAACGCGATTTATATTTAAACATAGAAGAAATTGTCCAACGACAATTGTAGACACCAACAGTTTTCTTCTTTTTAGCAATATATTTTCATACTAATAAATAATATAGGTTTTTTTTTTTTTGTTGTGTAGTCCTTTAATAACTTTTTATCCTATTTGATTTTACATTTCGCGACCAATCGTTTTTACTAAAATTAATGTTTAAATAATGCATAATTATGTAAATATGTGTAAATAATACCATTTTTATTTACGATTGATTTCCGCGTACTGATGAAACAATACAGATATAATAGAATATTCATCAAATCCGTATACTATGATTGTATATTCGTGTCATTGATTTTACTGTACTTTTTATCATTATAATTTATTATTTTTTAACGTATAGCTACTAATATTGTACAGATTCAATATTTAATTCTGATTATTTGAATGCACTATGATCGGGTTCCAGTACAAAAAAATAGCTTAACTAATTAAGTCGTTTTAATTTTTAAGAATCACCAAATTATCGTTTTAGTATAATAATAAATTTATTTATTACAATTCAAAACTAGAACATGATGAAAAAAAATAATAACAAAAAAAACCGATCCTTCACCACACCATTAATATTTCATTTAACTTCCAGACAGATTTAAACGTTAAAATGGCCGAGTACCCAGAGAGGGTAAAATTTATTTTTCAAATATTTATATAGATTTTGCAAGTTTTTATTTCAATTTTTTTTTTCAAATCGTATCAACAGGTTCGAGTTCTTAACTAACGGATTATTCAACGTCTAAAAGCCAATTAATTATTCAGGTACCTTTGTACCTTTGCACGAACGAAAATGAGACATAATATCACAATGAAAGCACAATACGCATCTAAATTGGAATTATTATCCTTTAATCACATTTTTTTTTTCAATCAAATCAGTGCTCACATTTTTCGTTGTATTGTGTATATGTATATGTATTCATTATATAGTGTTTACATTATATTCTTAAAACGGTTTAAATCGCTGGTAGTTTGAGCGTCGCTACGCGGTCTGATTGCTACAACGAAAAGTGTAAGTCGTGCGTAGCTCACGGTCCGCGTGCGTGCACGACGTGTCATAGGTGTGTATGGCGACGTGAATTTCGGAAGCAAACCGATACCGAGAGCCTGGCCAGACGAGAACGGCAACTCAACGTGCACTGACTGAACCGGTTGACTATGGTTTTGAGGGATTAAACTCGTGTACACGCACGCACGCAACGCCTCGTACGTCATAACGGGCGCGTTTATTGGTTTTTACATGTTTTTTAGCAGTAAAAAAAAAAATAAAAACGACGGCTTCGGCGACGGTAAAAGTGGCGGAGAATATAAAAAAATTAATAAATTAAATAATAATTCACTCCCTCTGCAGTCGACGACGTCGTGTGGATACACTGTACGTGTACATGTGGTACGCAGCCGCCGGATAATTGCGCGGGGGTGTAACAGCACACCTTTCACGCACACACGCGCACGTACAAACAATACAAACATCAAGAACGCGCATGTTTTTCAACGACACGGGGAGACACACGCACGACGTACAGCAATTTAAAGGGTTGATGAAAAAATGTATATAAAAAAAAAAAGGATATCGCCTAATTTTCAATTTTTTTATTTTCGTTTTTTTTTCACCATACAGTTTTCAATATTATTCTCACGGTTTTCTCACAGTCTCATTTACACACGCGGGGTGTGTTGTTTTACACGGAACGAATGGCACGACAATGGGATTTCGCCAGCAGACGGTTATACCAGTCGATTTATATCAATTATCCGTCAACGCCTCGCACCGACGGAGCTCCATGTACGTGTACACTTTTTTTGGCTTTTTTTTTTTTTTGTTTTGTTTTCCATCGTTTTCTTAACGCGACCAATCCTTTATCAATCCTTTACCTCGACGTCGGATCGTATCGTTCGGTGCTCCGTCAGGAGAGGTCATCACCGGCGCAGATGTCGGATCTAACCGGTGGCAAGAATAATGGCATTCAAATATACGCGCGTATTATAGTGCTACACACGCATTCACCTTGCTCCATACGATATGTGCGGTGTACAGGTGTTACAAACCGTACAATCGCGCGTACCTAACGACGCGCTCCGACGAGGCGGAGGAGGAACACATAACGTGCGTGCTAATGAGACACCCCGGGTACGGTATTTTTCTTCGGTCGGTGTGTCGTAGGTACGTGTGCGTTCCCTCCCCCTCTCCCCGGTACCATGGAGGCCATCATAAATCATCGTTTTACCGGTCCGTTTCCGAGGCGAAAACCTGGTAGATAAAATACATATATATATGCATGTGTGTACGAAAATCGATCCCAAATTAAGGGGGAGGGCAAAGGGGCCATGGCCCCGGACCCACAACGGTTATCAAACAATAGTAGGCCCTGATGGATAGTAGATTTTTTCGTTTTTTAACTCTTTTTTAGCTCGTATAAAAAACAAGTATAAAACAGTATATAGTTTTATGGTTTTGTGTTAAGAGAAAGGGCGTACCCAAGGGGGGTCCGGACCCTCCCCTAATTGAAATTTTTACATACTCAACGGTTTAATAGTAAATAGTATAATAATAGTATATAGTGTATTTTAATTTCCTATTATCTTCAATATACGTTTATATATTATATAATATACCTATAATGTATGAACCATACTATAGTATATTAACAGTAATTTTTTGGTATTGAGTTAGAGTATAATTGTAATTAAAGAACTGATAAAATAAAAATTTTAGACCCCCCCAACAAAAAATTCCTGGGTAAGCTCCTGGTTCAGAGAGTAATGTTTTAGAGGTAATTAATACCGATGATATAATAAAAGGGTTTGCTTCCCAAAAAGAAAGAAAAAATTGTTTATATAAATAACGTTTTTATTTTTTTTATTAAAAAAGCAAGGAATACATTTATAAATTAGAATATAATTTCTATTTTGTCTCTGAAATATATTTCTGTGTGGGTCATCAATATTTTGATTATGGTTATGGGCCCCTTAAATCATTTGATCCCGGGCTCCAAATTACCATAATCCGGGCTTGACGAAAACGTTAACTGGCATGCGAGCCCGCGGTGCACGTCATAAAGTAACGCGAGGTCGAAAGCGTATTGATTTTTTATCACTGTTTTCGCCGGACGAAAGAAACGGTTCGTAAACAACGGTTTTCGCCGAGCCGGTCATATCTCGCGTTATGGCTTTATTATTTTATGGCGACGATGATTCGTTTTTTTTTTTTTTTTTAATTCGAATCGAAATCCATTATAATAATACATGTACGCGCGTGCAATTAAACGGTACCGTTGTTGAACCATGCACCAAACGAGATATATAGTTCTCGAGTAATTGATTCGGCACACAAAGTTAGCATGGTCAAGGACGACGATTTTGTCGGCCGCGTTGACGCATCGAACGCGCGACGTTCTTTTAAAAAACGCATTTTTTTTAAATTTTTCTTTTTTCTTTGACACAGCCGGATTTGGTTTAAAAGTGCGGACGTGCATGTCGGAACAATTGCTGCGGGCGGTCCAACATTAATCGATGTTTTGCGCGGACCGCGTACTGAAAATGCCGAAAACATTACCGTACTGATAAAACAAAGGTCGACCTTTGGACATCGGTTTATGGTTTTAGATTGTGCTTTATCGCGATTATGGCACGCATACATGATAATATTCTGTACGTTTATCTATGCCGTCTACGTTTAGTCCGAATATACCGTAATGATACGTAAATGCTTGTTCATCGCAGCCCTCCGATTATCTTTGCTCATTTTTTTTCTTCTTCAAATGTGTCCTTTGATAACCTATAACCGCTCTTAAGGTTAAGCCTCACAAAAATCCATATAGATTATTAGACATGTGTGTATGTGTGTGTGTTGCTGTGATGGCGGATGGCCTACGAGTCACAACAGATGAAGAATAATATACGTCTTTAACAGTCGTGTGCATTGAGATTTAAATAATAATTGATGGCCGAAAAATATTTTATTTTTTCATTTTTATTATGTTGTTTGTATGGCAAAAGTATAAAAATCAAACGAACAATAACAAATTCAACGGAAACGTATTTTATAGGTTTATAGTACAAAACGTCAATTTGACTTTTTAAAACCAATAATTGACGCTATTATAATTAAAATATACATCAAAGTTTTAAAAAGTACATTTTTTCCCTTTCATTTCTAGTCAAATTATCTCTTGCATATTAACATGTAAAAATATAGCCAATACATAATCAAAGAGTATTAATATTATTCTATCGCGTATTATATTATTTTAAAATATTTATACAGCTGGTATGGATTTATTTGATATTTGAGTATTAATTGTTTTCTATATATGGTAATGATATGGTATTAGTGATTACATAATTACATAAAACCCATAGTCGTACTTGATAGAAATGTTGTGGAGGGAAGCTAAATTATTTTTAAAATCAGGCTTGTTGAATTTATGTGTAGATTTTTATGAGAAATGTATTAAATTTGGAATGCACCCTAATACCTATTTACCACTTATGATAATCACATGTATTGTTCTTTCGGTGTAAAATTTAATTTGACACAGAGACAAATTATTAGACATTAATGTCGAATGATTTCTGAGAAGAAATTAAAAGTAAACGATCTAATTTTTTTTATTTAGGTATTGATTATGGACATGGTCTTAAGGTTTTTTTTTGGGGGGGAGGACTTGTAATTTTACTTTAGTGTAAATTGACTGGTTCAATAAGTCTTTTTCACGATATTATTATAATACGCTCAATATATGCTTATAATAAAATCAAGTGTTCTTACTTTTTTTTCCAATATGTTATCCCCATAAAAAATGTTTATAGCACACTTGTGTGCATTAAGCACCATATAGATGTTTCTAAATTAAAATTAATAATAAATTACGTAACAACGAAAATAGTTTTTTTGGAAATACCATATTTATGATTCTCAAAAGTTATAACAGAAAATATTAAATTTTATTTAAACATTATCGTTAAAATATAAACTTGTAAAATAATTAAATACTAAATATAATGGTTCCAATGTTATAACGAAAATGAGTGATAAGTGATATTTTAGAATATTACGTATAATATTGTAAAAAAAAAAAAAAAACGATTGGGATAGTTCAATAATACGTAACGGTATAAAAAACATTTGGGAAGTAATTTGTGTATTTCTAAGTACATTTTATTTGTTGTTATTCTTGATTTTTACCAATGTTAAAATATGATAAAATAAAAAGCTAAATGCATTATCAACGGTACAACGGTCAACAATGCTAATATAGTTGAATCCGAAAGTATTTTACTGTATTTTTAATGGTCTATAAGCTATGACACACATACAAATGTACTGTAATCATATCATTCACATATTATATAAGTCAACAGTCTATAATACTATGTATATTATATTATAATGCTTTAATATTGCTGTTCATTAATTTTCGATAACAATATGGCTTTGAGTACGAATTTTATTGGTTTTGACAAAAATGTTATTCGACCGAATGAACTAAAAAACATTGATATAATCGAATTTAACACTAATCTATGGCTATCTAATAGCTTTATATTAAGCATTTAAAAATATATTAAATCACTTAAATTATAATGGAGATTATTTTTCGTATTGTAATTTTACACTCGTCCTAAATAATTGTTCATAAAAAAAAACGTCTCTAATTACTAGTGTTTTATCTTTTAAATAATAATATTCATTATATAATTTTAAACCCTTCGATAATTACTAAGAAAGTTGTATTCAATTATTATATTATGATTTTCATTGAGTTTTTATACGAATTCCAAAAAATAAATCAAAGCTACTGTAGCGTAAATGTTAAAGCTATTTTTGTAAGAATACAATTTACATAATTACCTACATTTAAATTATTTATATAATGGCTTATTGGTTTGTCTAATATGCAAATGGCATTTATCACCATCGTGAACGTACTGAAATGTGAATAACCTGCGTATTTTTATGAATATTTCAAGTAAACGACTAACAATTAAACATACATTTTACACGCAACAATTTATTTCGTTATTTACAAATTAAATTGTTAACTGTATGTTGGTGTTTATAAGAGAAGTTGATTTGCACTTGTTTTTTGTCTTCTAGATGCAGCATGGGTCGTAACAACGTTTTTTCATCGATGAATATTTATCTCCGTGTTGGGGGTGGTATTAGTAGTTTTACTCCCTCTATTCTTTATTCTGTTTCGAGAGGGCACAAGGGTTCAAGGCCAAGATGAAAAAACTATATAAGACCAGCGGCGGCAGCGAGGTAAGTCATCGGATAATGATTGCCACCTGTTCTTTCTTACATCGCAATCAACCCTTTTTTTACGACTGAAGAATTTTTCCCACACCCCCTGAGAAGAAAGAGACTTGCAGTGTATATTATATATTTATATATATATATATATATATATATAAAAGAGATGGCTAAACATGACAATTGAGAGGCAAAACGGGTTCTGTGTGTCGTAATATTATAATAATATCCTGGGCCCCGCCAATTCAAAATTTTTATACCCACCTTGAATATGATAAAAAAAATATGTCTGAGAGTTAGGTAAATTAGCGGTAAGGAAACAGGTGGTTTATCAACCCTCTGATCACAATGATGAATAATATTAAATCTATTGCCGGGTTCTTTTTTTTTTTTTTTGCGTTCAGATTAACCCGGAAATTTTGTTTTATCTTTACCTTCCTCAAAAGGTAAGCTACCGTTATTCGAAATCACTGGTACGGAGTACATCATGGCTACCATATGGAACTGCAGTTAATTAAATGTTACAATCTGTTGTACCAACGGATACCTATGTTACCGTGATAACCGGAAATCGAAATTGACTTCGCGGTGACGGGAATTATCTTTATCCAGAAACATAAATCTTCTTTGTAATGTCCGTACATTTAATGTTTTTCCATGTTATAGACCTTAATAAAATAAATACATAATAATGGACTGGACTATATTTATATTATTTTTTTTTATAAAATAAGTAATTTTTATAATGTCTGATATTTTTTAACTAATTTTCAAAAACTACTAATGTTGTTTTCGGTCGAAAACGTTTATTTTAATAACTGTCATTACTCGTATTAAACCCTCGTCCCAAAATGTTTAACCGTCTAATAGCATTTACGTGTGGTAATTTGCGAAAACCTTTACCCATTAAAAATATATGAAATACTAAATATTTCTTTATAAAATATTTCATTAATAACTGTTTAGGGGTCGCGGTTGGTTTCAATAATCACAGGTTTGCTACGCTTTCCTAGTTGAAAATAAACGTTATAGCCACCAATATTAATCAATGTGTCGTATATAGTATGTAGTACCCGAGACCTTGCATAATGTGTATTATACGATTTATAATAATGTACAACATTGTAATCGTAGTTTTCATATAGACAACTTGAAGGATAACTTAATAAAAATACAAAATCGTATTCCGTTTGTTCGGAGATTTGCCTAAATAAATTAACTTCAACGTTCCACGAACAACCGGAATAAATTACAATAATTGATTACTACCTTTTATTTTAATTTTTTTCTCAGTCGCACATAGGCCTATATCTATGCCGTAAACATATTTTGTACATGCGGTCGTATGGTTTTTCGTGCGGCAGTAGATTTGACAGAACGTCATTTTTGTAAGCACGATTGTGCGCAGGCTACATATTATACAAGTATACGTTTATAAATACGCTGTTTATTGTCTATTGTCAAAACGGGAAGGATATCGTCGTAGGGTAAAACTCGTACAGAATATCAAAACCTAGTGTACTTAGCTCATTGCCGCCACACGGCATAACGTGCACACGGCACTTTAGTCGTTTAGATAACAAGACGGGATTGGTTAAAACGACTCTCCGGTCTCCGGATTTCTGGCCAAATAATAAAGATACACACACACATACACATACACACACACACACACACACACACACACATACACACACACACATGCACACGCACACAAAATGTGTATATATATATATATATATATATATATATATAATGTTGGTGTATTTTTAAATTACACAGTAACAGTAGTGGTGGTTGTATATTGTACTTACCATGTAGTGGTGGAAGGAACACAAACCGCACGGAATGTAGTTTCTATGGAGTAATTGAATTAAAAAATATAGGATTTTTGAATTGCGTGCAAGGAAACGTTGAAGAAATAACGAGTAGTATTCTCATGATAATTTGTATGAATTCGAGATGTATTTTGTAAAAAATAAGACAGACAGCCCTTTTCACTTTATGTATTGTAATTAAAATGGGTTAAATTAAATGCACTGTATACACTATGCCGCATATAATACGTGTACAATGTAACTTTATTACATCGGTACATTTTTAAATGGAATAAGTTTTGAAACGAAACATTCTTTTTTCTTTTAAGATAATCGAACAATTCGATTTGAAATTAAAAAAAAAAAAAAAATTAAAAATACCTTATCCATATAAGGTTGTAGTTAATTTATTATACAAATTATATTAAAATTTAATTATTTTTAAAACCAAGAGTAGTAAAGTTATATCAAAAACTCTTAAACCTAAATCGAAATTAACTATTCAATAAAATCAAATTATTAAGATTCTGACCGACAACGGTTCAGAAAAAATATAGAATATTTGTAGATAAACATGTCTTACATTTTCTGCGACTACATTGATAAAAATTTTCAATGAAAATATAATATATTCAGTTTTCATTGCATGACTGCTGCGATTTCCTTGAAAGGACTTTAAACATATACATACTGTTTTTGTTTATTAAACGAACAATAAAACAAAAAACGTACACACATAATCAATATTGCGACGGCGTCTAGGTTTATATTACAGTTTAAATATCTATTATAAAATTTAAAGAGATAATATTTCTAAAATAAGACCATATCCCTCAGAACAAAATAATAATTAACAAATTATAGCGTTTTATGTTTTATTGCATAATTATATAACTTATGCATTATCATAATTTTTTTGTCGGTAAACATATTACAAAAACAATATGACTTTATTTCAAAAATACTCTCCTTAATAAATTTAATAGTATAAAATAAAATGTTAACACAGATGCTACTTTTTTATTTTATTCAGTGAAATATTGCTATAATTCCCATTAGATGGACTGAGACGGTATTAATACAGATATCATGTTCTCATAATGATTTATACGAAACACATTAAACTCGGTCTCAATTTTCTTTATGTTGTGGTCAAGGCTGCAAGGTCTTCGTGAAATTAATGACTTATTCTCGATAAATATCATCTTAAAAAAAGAAACAGCAATTTTTTCTTATAATTATCAATAAGCTGGCTGTAAAAGTGTATTTCAATGAGAAAGACGATGTTACGAACATTAAATCCCCTATCACTCGAGCTCAACAAATTTTTATCAGTTCAGATATTTTATATGGATGATACCTGCTAATAAGAAATCCTGTATACAAGCCCGACCAAAAATCAAAATTCAATTTTCAATGCAAAAATAGGTATTATGTATTAGATATATTATGTTGCCTTTCGTTTCCTAATAATAAATATTAAATAAAATAAATAAATTAATAAATAAATAAAATAAAATAAAATATTCATAAAATTAATTGAAAAACAATAAAATTACGTAGAATATTTTTATATAAAACTATCCTAATTTTAATCTTTAAACATTTAATTATAAGACATTTTACACTGAGTATATGTTTTATAATTTATATCTATTAACCCAATTAAAATTAAATACACAGTTTTATGCCGGATATTATCTTCTGTTATTTTAAGCGAAATACTAAATGATAATGTTTTTTAAAACAATAAAATACGATTTTCGATTTTTTGGTTACATAATATAATACTTACAAATAAAAGTATAATTGTGTTCTTAGAACAAATACTTTTTAATAAATTATTAAATACACTTAATAATTATCATAAACATAAACATATTCGTAAGTTATTTAAAATTAAATATTAATGATTAGGGAATAATACATACAAGCATGGACTATTGTAGAATGATACTCTTTGATCAAATGACGAGATGCTTTATCTGCCAAACATATGGACACATAGCAAATTATTATAGTGCAAACATACAAACTTACATAACATGTGCGTCCATAGACAAAAATCACGGATTTAAATATCGTGCAAACTGTGACAAAAGTAAGAAAACAAATTATCCGGAGTGCCTTGCCTGTGCAGGAGTAATAATACAAAGATGCAAAATTATGCACTATGGATTAAAAAAATCGAAATTAGACACGGAATAAAAATTTAAAAAAATAAGGACATCACAATTCTCCTTGTTGTCAGGGGAAAAAATATGGTGACGGCTATCTAGCTTGTCGTAAAAGGAATGGCCCATCACTAGCCGATCTACCTGTTGATCAAAATAGTGGGAGACTTTTCTAAAAGAAGTGTCGGGTTGATCGACCAATATCAACTTAAAACCTAATTGGTGCCGCGAAGAAGGGGAGCCCTCTTACAAATCGCACCAGCTTGCCGCTCCGAAAGTAATGTACCTCAAGGTTGAGGTGGTAAAGTGGTTGTGGGACCAGCGTTCGATGGTATGTCAAGTACTGGCTCATTAACTACGCTGTAAAAGGAGAAGGAATCCACCACATTAAAATTCACCACATTAAATTGATAAAGCAATATCGATCAAGTAGAATCTAACTGCAAACCAGTTTAGTACTAGTTTTACCCTAATCTGTGAAGTCTCATGGAATTAGTTGTCGTTGATTGATTTATTTTTAAATTACTGTAAGTCAAAAAGTTTAAAATGTATATTTGAAAAGAAAAGTAATATTCTGAAGAACCTATAGTAGTTCAAATACGAATAAGCAATTATGTACTCATGTAGGTGTGCGTATGTAGTTGGTACACACAATTACGATATAAATAATTGTACATATATTTTGACGAATATACGTGTTAGTGTATGTATGTGTACATTTGTTATATAAATTTAATTCTCCAACCGTTGAAACATGACAATTGACATCCGTTGGATGTGCGCAGTGTGTGTATACGTATAAGGAAAAAAACACCCTAGTTCCCCAAAGATTTCGTTTAGTATTTTTTTTACCGATTTTTTTCGGTATTTGCATGTGTTGCATATTATAATAATTTAAACCATGCACAATATAATCATTCTTCAACAATACGAGGCGTGACGAAGTAAGACATTATGTTATCGTGAAAATTTCCGATTCCGCACTACATTAAACTTTCGTATATTTTTGATGATTCATTGGTCCGTCGACGGAATAAACGGTTTTCAGATTTGTAAGTTTCGTCTAATATTCAAAGTTAATCCTTAAAAACAGTAAATAGTGTGAAATTATAAGAGCGGGGTCAAGCTTGTCAGTTAACCACGTTCGTCCAATCAATTTATGGTACCTTTATTCAAAGTAAGTTTTCTTCTTGTTTTGTCTTGTATAAGAGCTTTAATCCCGAAAAGGTTCTACTATTGCACCTGTCCTACTTAGTGTTACATGATTCGTTAATATACTCTATTTTCTTTCACCTTCTTCTTCTTCGTTGGGGTTTGTCGACTATCAAGACCATCCCGTCACACATCTAATTCTCCATCCTTCTCTATCCAAAGCTCGTGCTTTCCAATCCGGTCCTCCATTCAGTGCCAACGCGTCTTTTTTTATCATATCTTCCCACCTTAATCGAAATCTCCCTAGTGGTCTTTTACCAACTGGGTTCTCTTCCATAGTTATCTTTATTGTGTTGTTCTGGCTTCGTCTAGCATGACCGGCCCACTGAAGTCTTCGATTTCTAATTGTATTTACAATGTTTTCTTTTTTAAATAGGCTTTCCAATTCATTATTTTTTCTTACTCTCCACTCACCCGTTTCTCTGTCTTTCACTGGTCCAACAATTTTTCTTAAAATT